GGCTCAATAGAAGCAAATATGCAAACATATTTGTGAATAGATTAGAATAGTTTTAAACTATAGTGAATAGAGAGTAAAGTACACAGTCTAAGATTAAAAAGTGAAAATAATACAGTGAAATAAGTGAAGTGTAGTGTAAACAATTAGCATTAGAATAAAAGTATAGAGTAATAAAAGTGAAATTAGCTTCTAATTTGAGACTCAGCTCGTTTTTGTCTGTGTTTTGACTGAATCTGCTGAGTTCTTGTGTGTCCAATAGTTTGTTTGTTTTTATTTTTGTTTGTTTTTATTTTTTATTTGTTTTTTGTTTGTTTATTTACTTTATTTTTGTTTTTTATTTTTTCCCAGTATAGAGGATAAAATCCACTGATATTGATTTGATGATTATGAGTTTAATGCATACATTTTCTTTGTTTTTAATAATTTTTGAAAGTTTTTTTTTTGAATTTTTTTTTTTTTTTTTTTTCTTTTCTTTTTCCACTTTATTGATTGATCAAATTGAGTGATCACATGTGATTATGTGATCAAAGGGGAGGGTATTAGTATTAGATAGCAATATGGCCTACGTGCAGGACTGTACAAGGACTCTACAAGGACTCCATGTTATGACTATGATGTGACTGTCTCTTTGTGACACGTATGTCTTTCGATGTGTGACGTGACAATGACTATATAAACTGTGTACTGCCTTTATTCTGTCTGAGGAAAAGAAACAGAGTAAACCAGTGGAACTTGAGAGCAACTTAAATAAACTTCCAGAGTTTGGCACACCACGATCCGTCTCTGTCTGCTAAATCCTGACAACCAAAAAAACTGCAGAATTAGTAGGAGATCAGAGAACAACTAGAGAGGGCATTCAGTAATTGCAGCAGTAATCTCCATACTGGAGTGGCCACAGCACATCTCAGGAAAATCACCAGAGAGCTCAGTCCAGTTTAATTGAGTCCTGTAATCACTGATACTGTCTTCCATTCACACATCCTATATATATTCATTATAATTTGCAATAGCTTATATCATAAAGTTAGTTGGAGCATAATAATGAGACATAATAAACTGTGATTAGACGGATGCTCTCTGGCTCCACACTGATGATTTGTATGTATTTGTTTCAGTTCCCCATTATTGGAATAGCCACCTGCATGTGAAATCCTAATCCTGTCAGATCTCAGAAGTACAGTACAAAACTGGTTGCATTGCTGCTATGGCTTTGGGTGTCATGAAAAGGCAAGACAAGTGTGCATGTAAAGTATTACAGTTCATACACAAGGAAACTCAAAGTGATTAACAAAACAGGAAAAGAAGGAATCAAAAATAGATATAGATTTTTTCTGCTGGATGCACAGTTAAACAGAGCATTTTTTTACCTGGATTTGAACATTGTCAGCTGCACAACAATTTGGAAGGATGGATGCTCAGCGATAAATACATTCATTTCTCCAGCCACAAACGGCTTGTATAAAATGGGCATAATATCTACATTTTGCCCGTAATTACTGTACATAAATAACTGAGCCACTTGATTGCTGTGTTCTTTTTTGATCGTGTTGGAGCTGACATTTTAACATTTACAGTGAGTTGCAAACAGTGCTATATAATTGAATTTTATATGTAAATGTTTGAACTTTTCAACATGTGAAACCGTTATTGATCTGCGGTTGTTTGATTTGTCGATTGCCCATCACTAAATTACACAGCCCACACATTAGCTCCGGTCGCCACAAGAACAGTTTATTCTCCTCTGTGGTTGGACTTCCCATCTCATCACGTACTGTATATCCCTGCCACTTTACATTTGTCACTTTATAATTCTGCCATGCCGTACTTCTTCCACTTCATTACAGTACATTGGAACCCGGTCACTTTTGAATAACTCTGGACACTTTGTGATTTGACAACAACACTGTTAAATGTGGTCTGAAAAGCATTATTCAAACCTTTATATTAATTTTGACTACTTTATCATGTGTTATGTAAGGTTAAATAAGGGACAGGGCCGTAAAACAGAGCCAGGCCCTGTTGTGTACACATTCGACCAAAAGGAGGAAGACGCCCCACTGCAGCTTCAAAGGAACAGCGAGGTCGGCCGGAGGACTATCATTGATCATGGGGATTACAGATGCCAAAAAGAGCAATAAAGTCACCACGGGGATAAGCACCTCTGTCTCTGCCTGCCTGTAGAGATCAAAGATCACAACCCTGCTCTCGCTCACAGACTCCTGCCACCGGACAATCAAAGACTCCCCCGCGGCGCTCTGACGCCCCCTTGTGAACAATGGACACTATCACACCCGGGACGGACAATTGCGAACCGGTACCCCTGGGTCCAGTACTCCAATAATCTGCATTGTGCCCCATATGTGTGTATCAATGTCAAAGTAATGAAATACGGTGTGTGTTTTGTACATGTCTTATGATTATTAGCATCAATCCTGTGTGTTTCCTTTACAAACTGTCTGTTGTAAAAGGGGTCTGTCCACAGAGGGCAGGGGCGGCATGGACACGCCCCCTGGGAAGTCTATATGAGCACCCACACGCCATTGTTCTTTCTCTTGCCTTCTCCTGAAATCACTATCGCAACCTCCCTATCGACTCTGCGGCGGCACCAGTACGGGCCTCCAGCAACGACTGTGCCCGTCCGCATCGAGACTTTCCCTTCCAAGCAAACCTATTTTCTGGTTGGGATTTATGAAACTCTTCATCACCAGCCGGCCCTGGCTCTGGACTCTGCGCACGTGACTCATTCCGGACTGAGTGTGCACGCCTGGATCCAAAGTTGGACTGCCGTCGCTGGCTTCATAATTCACGACATCGCCTCCACCCTATTCTTCATTCTCATCCTCCACTCCATCCTCATCCCAGTCACCCACTTCCCTCTACGCTCCTTCAAAGTAAGACTGTTCCTTTGTTAAATGTATGATTTGAATGATATGTGTACAACTCCTGCTTTTAATGTGACCAGAAATCCCTTTTCGTTATATTTTTACCCTCATTTTTGTAATCAATAAACTACTTTTCTTTAACTCAACCCCTTCAGAGTCGCGTTGTTAGATCTCGGAATATCACTGGCCGATAAAAGTACTCACTACCTATTAGATTTATAAGACTGACTCGAGGCAAAGTTGGTTTGGATCTGTGCAGTGTGTCATACACTGCTGGTGCCTAAATAAATATAAAGCAGATCCCCCACTCGAATAGGACGGCCAGACTCTGATTTGAAGACTAGCCGCACTATTCTTCTCATAACATAATCTGTAGTATTATTACCCTAATACATATAAATATTTACCCTACAGTATTGGTACCCTGTTTGTGAGATCCGCGAATATAGACCAGATTTATCGACTCGTACTCTGTGAATTGACCGGTTAATATACGCTAACTCAAACTGCTGCTCCGCTCAAAGCGCTTCCCCCCACTCCCGCACCCCCTCTGTCCCTGCTACCCCCGTTGCTAGAGTGACTTCAACGGCAATCGAGCTCCCCTAACGCGACCGCTTGCAACAAAAGCGCTCGTGATCCCACCAGACTATTAATTTAGTCTCAAAACCCTGGCTTTGGCACAGGTACTACGCATTCTCTCCAACGTTTTGCCCTGTCTAGGCCAGTCAGGCAGCGTGAGTCTGTGAAGCCGCTTCCCTCTGAAGAGAAAGCGCACAAACTTATTCTTATAACTCCACTGTACACCGTGTCCAGAACACGGGTGTACGGATCTACTGTGTCCCTTGGTGACCCAGGTCACACAGGATTTTAACCGAGTATATCTGTGTAAAAGGCTGTAAATGGCAGCTGTTTGAATGTGATGCTATCGTTTTGCTAAAGGCGGCTAACGCTAACTCTGTCTCACCACTCTCTCTGCCTGCTAACCTGCTGTTGTATACACACACCAGCACCCTACAGTACATACAGACAAACCCCATTCCACCACTGTGATTACGTGCTTGTGCGAACTGTATAACTCGCTCCAGACTTTCGTGTATAAACTGCTGCTACAATGTACCGTTGCCGGCAAGCTAAATGCTAGCTACGCTCCTTTGTTTTTAGCATACGGCTAAACCTCCGCCCGGGCCCCGCTAGCCTCAAAGCTAACTCTGACAACGCCGTTGCTCCTACTACTGCTCCCACTATACGCTGCTTCTCTACCGTTAAAACTAGTGCCACTCTGTTTAACCGAACTGCATTCGGTCACCAAAACTCATTGTTTATTGCCTACACTGCTGCCAAAATGTCCCGTTGCCGGCAAGCTACATGCTAGCTACGCTCCTTTGTTTTTAGCATACGGCTAACTTTCGGCCCTGGCGCGCTAAAAGCCAGAACCGCATCCCCACTGCTAATACCATTCTGCTGCACTGCCTACCTGCTGTCTAACAATAACACTACTTACTATACTTCGTACTATCATATCCCACTCTGATTCTGTGTTCTGACGATCATAAGGCGCCAGCCGTCTCGGCATACTGCTAAACGGGCCGCACCTCTTATTGTCTAAACACAAAATTGCTTTCCGGTCCCGGCACTACTTCCGGGACCACATTGCTGCTGTCTTGACTTTTACCCTGCACTACGTCTCATGATCAAGTGATTGGCTGTGGTTGTAACGTTAACACTGTTTTGGCTGTTGTCCCTTGCTGTTTCTGCTCCAACTAAAATCTCTACTTTGCCAGATTGTAATAAACTACTACGTTAATTCTACCCCTCCTTCTGCATGCCATATGTTTTTCTTTTCCCTTTCTTTGTGTTAAACCACATTGCTGCTGTCTTGACACTTCATTCTGCACCCCGTCTTTAATCATCTGTGAATGTGGATCTAACATTAACACCGTTTTGGCTATTGTCCCGTGCTGTTTCTGTTCCAACTAATAACACATTACTTGGCCAAACTTGATGTTTGATTGTACTAAACTAATACGCTAATTCCGCCCCTCCTTGCACTAAACTAAAACTAATAATTTTAATCCTGCCCCTTCTTCTGCATGTCACGCCTAGACCACACTGCTGCCCATGGTGGTAACATTAACACGGTCTAGCTGTTGTTCCATGCTGTTTTGATTGCTCAAACTAATAACCACTCTATGTTTGATTGTACTACACTGACACGAATCATTTTAATTCCGCCCCCTTCTGCATGTCATATTGTTTTATTAGAACACATTACTGCTATACGTAACAACAGCTAACACTCTCCTTCTGCTTCTCCTCTTAAGCATAATTGTTAGGCTACATTACTGCGTTGACCAAGTTTCACACTGTAACTCTGCTACTTCTAGCGCATGTTGCTATTAGAACACATTACTGCTATACATAACAAAAGCTAACGCTCTGTTTCTGCTTCTCCTCTTAAACATAATTGTTAAGCTACATTACTGCATTAGCCAAGGTTAATGCTGTAAACCCTGCTCTCCTTCTGCTGCATGTCGCTGGTGATACGCATTCTATGCTTTATTCCTGCTCACTCACTACTGCTAGTTTACAGTAACACATCTGTGTGGTGGTTTAACAAACACTGCACTCCCACACACCCCCGCCCCCTCCTTGCCACCGATAATAACACATTGCTGTGGTAACTAATCCTATTCTGTACTCCTGCTCCTGCATGATGCGCGTTATTGTTGAACCACATCGGCGTGTGATCTGACAGATACTGCACTCCCACCTAGTGGTGAAACTAACACTCTACTATGCCAAACTCTATGTTTGATTGTACTACATCAAAACTAATACTCTATTTCTAACCCTCACTGTCGCTAAAACTGCATTACCTTGCCTCAGCCTGCTGCCTTTTTGCTACTGCTTACTTGAGCTGCGTCTAAAGCTACGCCGCGGCCCAAAACGCAAGTGCGTACCAAACGCAAGTGCGTACCAAACGCAAGTGCGTACCAAACGCAAGTGCGTACCAAACGCAAGTGCGACACCAAACGCAAGTGCGTACCAAACGCAAGTGCGACACCAAACGCAAGTGCGACACCAAACGCAAGTGCGACACCAAACGCAAGTGCGCGACAAACGCAAGTGCGCGACAAACGCAAGTGCGCGACAAACGCAAGTGCGCGAACGAACGCAAGTGCGCGAACGAACGCAAGTGCGCGAACGAACGCAAGTGCGCGAACGAACGCAAGTGCGAGACCGAACGCAAGTGCGAGACCGAACGCGAGTGCGAGACCGAACGCGAGTGCGAGACCGAACGCGAGCGGTGCGAGACCGAACGCGAGTGCGAGACCGAACGCGAGTGCGAGACCGAACGCGAGTGCGAGACCGAACGCGAGTGCGAGACCGAACGCGAGTGCGAGACCGAACGCGAGTGCGAGACCGAACGCGAGTGCGAGACCGAACGCGAGTGCGAGACCGAACGCGAGTGCGAGACCGAACGCAGAGTGCGAGACCGAACGCGAGTGCGAGACCGAACGCAAGTGCGAGACCGAACGCAAGTGCGAGACCGAACGCAAGTGCGAGACCGAACGCAAGTGCGAGACCGAACGCAAGTGCGAGACCGAACGCAAGTGCGAGACCGAACGCAAGTGCGAGACCAAACGCAAGTGCATCCAAAGTTGGACTGCCGTCGCTGGCTTCATAATTCCCGCCTGCCCGGACAAAGAAACCACGTGGACGACATCGCCTCCACCCTATTCTTCATTCTCATCCTCCACTCCATCCTCATCCCAGTCACCCACTTCCCTCTACGCTCCTTCAAAGTAAGACTGTTCCTTTGTTAAATGTATGATTTGAATGATATGTGTACAACTCCTGTTTTAATGTGACCAGAAATCCCTTTTCGTTATATTTTTACCCTCATTTTTGTAATCAATAAACTACTTTTCTTTAACTTCAACCCCTTCAGAGTCGCGTTGTTAGATCTCGGAATATCACTGGCCGATAAAAGTACTCACTACCTATTAGATTTATAAGACTGACTCGAGGCAAAGTTGGTTTGGATCTGTGCAGTGTGTCATACACTGCTGGTGCCTAAATAAATATAAAGCAGATCCCCCACTCGAATAGGACGGCCAGACTCTGATTTGAAGACTAGCCGCACTATTCTTCTCATAACATAATCTGTAGTATTATTACCCTAATACATTATAAATAGTTACCCTACAGTTATTATGTCAAAACAAATTCCTAGTTTGTGACTTCCTGTTTACTGATAAAAAGAAGATTTAGGCTTCCTTGAGATAGGCCAGTACTCCGGTCTTCAGCCTGCATTCAGACACCTTACAACAAAATCAGAAATGTGTGTTGTAGTGTAATCAGTGCTCAAAAATATTACCTCACACAATAAAATAAAAAATAATTATGTTGCTCCTGTGCAGTCTGATTTCTGTAATATACCAGTGTCTCCTCAATGGATTGTGAAGGTTCTGTGAAGTTTCTGTTGGTCAGGTTTTGTTCGAGCATGAAAATGAACTTGGGTCAAGACCGTTCACATTCAAAATGCACTTTGTGGACAGCGACCCTGAGGCGAGCCAAACTCCACCTCTACATTTAGCATGCACAGTTGCAGTCCTGGGTTTCTTCTCCAATCCCTCATGTTAAATACAGCGCTCTTCCTGCTCTGTGAGCCACACGCTGTCAACTCCACTGGCCTCAGAGGTGGAACAGGAAAAACACCTCATAAACCCAGGCTTTGAACCAAGAACATTTCAACTCTAGCAAAGACAGTACAGCCAAGGACAAATTAATACTAGTGATTATTCCCCATGCAAATTGTTAGATACACTGTACTTAATGTATTTATTTGAGCAAAATGTTGTATTTTTGCCCCATGCTTTAAAACCAGCGGTGATCAAGTGTTCACCATAAATTAGCTTTATATTATCATGATAGAAATCTAGTCTCTGAATGTTATTATGGATTTAAACACACTGAGATAGATGTGAGCACTGAATGCACATTTCATTTCATTTTCAAGCCCTTTTTGTCCATTTCTGGGTCAGGGGGGTGGCAATGAGAGCTGCCACCCAATGCTCATAGCACCAGTCCCTCGCTGATCTTCTGCAGGGGGTGAGTCCACAGGAAGATGGCTGCTCTGTCAGTGGTGAAACAGCCTTGGTCTTTCAGCGGGGGGAAAGACCAAGACCAAGACATTCAACTGAATGCACATACTGTATCTATTTTAAGAAAGTACAAATTGTGCAACAACGGCAAAAGGAGAAAATGTATTTCTAACCACAATCTGTCACTAACCCTTAGTATTCATATGCATTGGTATTTGGACACAGCACAAGCGACGTACGTTTTCACACACAAAAGTGAATCACAGTGGATTGCACCTGCAACAAGCCACATGACTCAAAAGGCTCTTCTGTACAAATACAATACAGATGGAAATTAGCAGGGGCTGAATCTGATGCAGACATCGGAATAAAGCGACACCACATTGTCCTTTAAATACATGCATAAAAAGTGCTAACTGTTGTGCTTTTGAGAATGTTTACATTTTTGACACACATTTTTGTATTTAAATGGGGGGAGCGACAGTGTGACTATTTACAAAAGTATAAGGGAACTGGATTACTGATAATTACATACTAATCAATATATAATAAGCATGTAATAATATTGTATATATTGTTTGCACCCGAGTATATAAGTTTATGTTTCATATGTTTACACTTTTACAAGTAAATGTTTCATAGAATTGTGCTATTCCTAATAATCACTTATTTTGTGTTGTGTGCTCCTCAATCCCACTGTTCTGTAACTTGGGATGCAACCCTGAAATTTCCCCACTGTGAGACGAATAAAGCGTCTTAATCTTACAATTCCATCACAATGCTTTGAGACCGGAAACTCCTTTGTTCAGGTCTATTTCCCACCTTAGCACCAGTGATCAAATTACTCAGTAGCTGAAGTGTCACTTGGAATAAAGCTCAGATTTGTTTCAATGGATAAGCGGCCGGTTTAGCAGCTGTTCTAGTGAATGAAGTGGCAATAATTGCATCACGGACGTCCGACTCCACACACAGCGAATCTTTGTCAGACTCAATCCTAGTGAAGTCTGCCGCAAGAACCTGCCCTTGAAGGTCACACTCAAAGATTGGGCAGGTGCACGCTGGACCCAGACGGTCGTGGAGCATGCTGAGGCAGACATACAACACATGCTGACGCAACTAGAGAAGTTCACGATCACTAGGACAGAGCTCAGTGACCCTCGCCCCAGACCCAAACGATTTATTGGGGCTCTCCTCGGCGCGGCGTCCGCCCTGGGCACCCTCTTTAGTTTAGGGATGTCCACGGTAAACGCCATCAGCCTATCCTCCCTCAGACGCCACCAACAAGAAATGGCCTCTGAGCTCGAGGATGTCAAAACCAGACTTGACCAACAACAGAACGACGTGGTAACCTTGGGAAAATCCCTAAAAGGAACCATGCTAGTACTTAACACACACGAGGTTGCGATTAAACGCACCTCCGCTGCGGTCAACCAACTCTTAGACGTCCTCCAACTAGACTACGCCCATACTCAGCTGACCACCCAACTGATGGAGGACATGCTACGTCACCTCAGTTCCTCGATCGAAAACCTAGCCATGGGCGGTATCCCGCCATACCTCGTGCCGCTATCGTTAGTTGAGAACATTCTAGCCGTAGCCACACGGGACGCCGTAACCCCCATGCAAGCCCACTTAGCGTACACGCTGGGCGCTGCAGTCCCCATCTATGTTAATCCTCTGGACCGCGAGGTAGCCTTTCTAGTCACCCTACCGATAGTTCCCGGCGACAAAATCTACCGACTAAAAGGGATCACTAACCTAGGGACTTGGAGGGACAATGCCCACGTCAGAGTCCAGACCCCAGACATAGTAGCCTACCACGACAGTAACCCCAATTTATACCTAACGCCAAACCTAAGGGCGTGTACCCTCACCAAGGACATCCATTACCTCTGCCCCAGCAAACCTTTCGTCAGGGACAGCACCGATGGCATCTGCGGCCTGAGGCCCATGACTCCAGGGAGTCGATGCCCCGCGACGGTCACCTCTCGGAAACAAATAACCGAAACTAGAGCAGAGATTGTAGGGGCACGCTGGCTAGTGAACACTCCCCTTAGAACGGCGACCCTGACCTATGACAAACACGACACCTCGTCCCGAGTAAGCCTCCCGGACGAAACCTTTTGGGTCGACGTCCCAGCCGACGCTATCCTGCACGTAGGCGACCTGGCATTATACCACCTGTATCCGAACCAGTACGAGGCAGAGGTCGAGATACCAGAGTTCTTTGAGGAAAGGGCCTTGGAACTTCAACCCTCTACCCTAGTCCAAGCCACCTACGAGGGGGCACAAACCGTTGACGTTACGGTCGTAGACAATCTCCTTCAAGAGATTGCCAAGCGACCGACCATCCACCACCAACCAGTAGCCTACTCCTGGGCCGCCCCCGATACAGTCATGGCCATCGCGGTAGGACTCGGGTACGGCCTGGTCGTAGTCATGGCCTTCGTCCTAAATAGACGGGTTAGACGACTCCGCGATAGCTTTAACAGGTGCACGGAGGCAATGACGAGACAGATCCGTAGACGACCAAACCGGGGCGACAGCGCCGTCGAGCGTGGCAATTTGAGTCAGCGTCCCCAGGTCAATGAGTCAGAGTACGAGGACCTCCAAAGTCACCCACTCGAGGCGGTCACCCTTTCTATCACGGAAGGTGAACCAAGGGCCTAAAACACCACTAAGAGTCACCAGCTCAGACCCAACCAACCTACCTCGATACCTAATCAGTCTCCTAGACAATCATGCCTGTCATCCCCATTTATATGCAGGAAATGTCCCTCGTAATTAAAGCCCCACTTGCTACGTCATATATTCGTGTAACCCTCACACTCCCCTTTTAGAACGAGCAAGATGGGAACCCCTCACCATCGAGTGCCTTAACGACGCTCCTACCCGCTGCCAAGGCAGCCACCCTTTTTTGATTTTTGAAGTTTCCTATTTTGTATCCTAGTCCCCTAAAGTAGAAACTCCTGCTACTCTCTTGGCTTGGAACTTTGAGTCTTCCAGACCAAGAGACCCAGGAGTCAGGCGCACCGGCCCAAACCTTAGAGTTCACGGCCGGAGCTCACTCCCTAAAACCCCTGATCCCGGTTAGAACTAGCCTGCAGGGCCAGGACTCGCCTTAGAGAAAACCCGGCCTCGACAAACCAAGCCAGAGGCCCGAGACCCAACCGCCACGAGCCTGGCCCCAGTTAGGCGCTTGCGAATTGCTGAGTCACATTGAAGCGAGAATGTTGTAGCATGTCACCACAAATCACGCACTAACACCCGAACAGGCGAGACGACCGACCGGGGACACCCGCCCGGCATATCCGACATGACATGCACCTTGTCGGAAGGTGCATCTCTGCCGTGGGGGGGGTATGTAAGGTTAAATAAGGGACAGGGCCGTAAAACAGAGCCAGGCCCTGTTGTGTACACATTCGACCAAAAGGAGGAAGACGCCCCACTGCAGCTTCAAAGGAACAGCGAGGTCGGCCAGAGGACTATCATTGATCATGGGGATTACAGATGCCAAAAAGAGCAATAAAGTCACCACGGGGATAAGCACCTCTGTCTCTGCCTGCCTGTAGAGATCAAAGATCACAACCCTGCTCTCGCTCACAGACTCCTGCCACCGGACAATCAAAGACTCCCCCGCGGCGCTCTGACGCCCCCTTGTGAACAATGGACACTATCACACCCGGGACGGACAATTGCGAACCGGTACCCCTGGGTCCAGTACTCCAATAATCTGCATTGTGCCCCATATGTGTGTATCAATGTCAAAGTAATGAAATACGGTGTGTGTTTGTACATGTCTTATGATTATTAGCATCAATCCTGTGTGTTTCCTTTACAAACTGTCTGTTGTAAAAGGGGTCTGTCCACAGAGGGCAGGGGCGGCATGGACACGCCCCCTGGAAAGTCTATATGAGCACCCACACGCCATTGTTCTTTCTCTTGCCTTCTCCTGAAATCACTATTCCAACCTCCCTGGCCATCGGCGTCCCGCGGCACGTGTCTCCTACTACGGTCGCGCCAGCACGCATCGGGCCTTCTACTCCGCCAAACATACTCTCCTCTGGTTGGGATTTATGAACTCTTCATCACCAGCCGGCCCTGGCTCTGGACTCTGCGCACGTGACTCATTCCGGACTGAGTGTGCACGCCTGGATCCAAAGTTGGACTGCCGTCGCTGGCTTCATAATTCCCGCCTGCCCGGACAAAGAAACCACGTGGACGACATCGCCTCCACCCTATTCTTCATTCTCATCCTCCACTCCATCCTCATCCCAGTCACCCACTTCCCTCTACGCTCCTTCAAAGTAAGACTGTTCCTTTGTTAAATGTATGATTTGAATGATATGTGTACAACTCCTGCTTTTAATGTGACCAGAAATCCCTTTTCGTTATATTTTTACCCTCATTTTTGTAATCAATAAACTACTTTTCTTTAACTCAACCCCTTCAGAGTCGCGTTGTTAGATCTCGGAATATCACTGGCCGATAAAAGTACTCACTACCTATTAGATTTATAAGACTGACTCGAGGCAAAGT